AAGGGTGAGGACGGTTCTTGACGGTCGTCAACCCGAACCATTGAACGTGGACATCGAGGGACTCCAATCGGTGCATCATGCTGCGCCGGGTCCTGGTCCCAAGCAGGAGCCGGTCCCCAAGGGCGGAAAAGGAAAAGGGAAGAAGGGGGAAAAGGGCGGTAAGGGCGGTAGTCCTTCCGGCCCACCACCAAAATCAGGTGAAGTGCCAGGTAAAGGATCTGGTAAGGGCGGTAGCCCATCTGTCCCAAAGGCGAAGGATGATGCTGGACCTGCTCCGATGGAGGTTGATACAGCAGCAGCTCAGCCGAAGAAGTCTTGGGCCGAGATGGTGGTTGAAGGGGCCAGGCCGAGTGCTAAGGCTAAAATGACCCCGGTTCCTAAGGCCGAGCCGAGAGGGAAGGCTGCTTCAGCATCTGAGGCGAAGAGTGCTCCGGCTCCAAAAGCTGTGGCTAAGGAGACGAAGCAGGCCGAACCGAAGGTTGAGGTCAAGAAGGAGAAGACAGGCGGAGGTGACGCTCCCGGCGGTAGCCGCGGGTCGGCCGAAGGGCAGAAGAGAGAAAGGAAATCCCGTTGGGATCCCGACGAGGCTGCGAAGGAGTCGACAAAGCGGGAGGCGTCCACGAGGCCTGGCGACGTCGACAGCAGACCAGGTGCGGCAGCGAGAGAAGCTAGCGGGGATGATCTTCACTCCGCGCTTGGCAGATCTTCGGCAAAGGATGCGGTAGCGCCTTTGACGGCCTCCAAGGCGATGGCAAAGAAGCCTGAAGGCGGGGAGATCCGGCTGCAGTCTGCTGAGCGGGCTGCGGCGAGCCCGGTGGAGGGTCACTTCCTGGTGCTGCCTGAGAGTTCGGTGGTGGACGCTTTCTTGTCGATCTCCACCAACAGAGTGCTGAACAAGCAGGTCAGGGATTTCATCAGGAATGGTGAGGACGCGTCGGCACTGGAGGCTCTCAACCAGATCGTGACGAACTCTCGATCTGGGAGGAGGCGTAGGGAATCGGATGTTTCCCGTACTCCTTCTCGGAGGTCCGTTAGGACCGTGGACACCAGGGATTCCAGAGAGTCGAGGAGGCGCAGATACCGTCCGCGGCGCGAGGATGATCGCGACAGGAGGAGGGACGATGCTCGTGATCGTCGTGATGATGATTCACTCGATCGGGAGCGAGATCGAAGGCGAGATGATCGCAGGAGATCCGAAAGGGATCGTGATAGGGACCGTGCGCGGGGCGGACGTGACCGGAGGAGACGTGACGATAGCCGGTAGGCTGAGTCACGAGGATTGCGGCCGATAGGCTTGCGTCCATTCTCCAATGGTCGGCGCGGTGCGGAGGTGGTGATGTTCCTCCCGGACCGCTGAGGCGCGGAGGTCATGTCTCTCCCATACCGCTGCTGGGCTGCTGGACGTGTTCATCAGGAAGCAGTGTGAGTGAGAGGGAAAGCAAACTGATGGGGGGGTTACTCCCGGGTTTGCGGAATTCAAGCATTTTTCAGGTACGCATGGTCAGGGGTACCTCTTGCCGTTAGGCGAGGGTACTAATGGACATACGTTATCTTTTATTTCATGGCTTCTGATAAGAATTAAACTTCTTGCATTGTTGATGCAAACAGTTGTGACCTAGTGTCGTCATGTGGACCTTTCCACAAGGTATGTTGGACAGCGTTACCCCGATTAATTCGGGGTGGTGGCGGGAATTTAATGCCCGGGATGTCGCGCAACTGCCTTTGTGGGTTTGCTCCACCGCTGACGGCGGTAGTGTCCAGCTGTTTGCGGACACATGCGAGCAGTTAAATCCTATCAGTAAATGGCACGCTCCACCCGTCATATGACGGGCTCCTCGTGAGGGGGGTGTGATTAGCCATGGTTAATATCATCATCAGGGACGTCGCGTTAGTGACCGACCTGTGGTGTTTTTGGCTCAAGTTTTGGGTTCCGTCGCGCCTCGAATGGGCGTCGCCGAACCCCTGCGTCGACCGACGGCATCTCGGGGGAGAAAGAGACCTCGGGCCGCCGCCAGGTTGGTAGGGACCAGTCGTGCGGCCTGTTGTCGACCAAGGTTGCGGGTTAACCCTTTTCTTGTTTGGTTTGTTTCCTTTGGTTGTTGTTCTCTGGTGTGTGGGAAACCCTGATCTTTGGGACCGGGGATTGGTTTGCTTTTGGGGAACCTTTCTTTTGTGGCTTGTTTACCCCAACTAACCCATTGCCTGGGCACAGGCTCGTGCCCGAATCACACAAAGTAATCATATCTGGGCTCAAAGTAGGAAAAATAGCGAGCCGAGACCTAAAGTCCACGACCACCTCCAGCTTCTGCCGAGTCCTCATTCCGATGAGCATAGGAACGAAGGCGTCCTCGGTGTCCAGGGTATAGGCGCCAAGCCATACCTACTGGCCGTTCAAGAACTGCGGAATCTCCACAAAGGATGAAGCTAGCATAGTTCGGCCATTTCCGAACCTGAAGGATTTCCCATCCGCCGGGTAGACCTTGACATCCTCGTCACCGAACAGCTCCTTCCTGTAGTTCATGATCTCCGTAAGTGCGGTCAAAGACGTCACAGTCTCCGTCGCTCCACTGTCCTGCTTCTTGCACCGTCCAAGCTTCGGCGTGAACCGTCTCCACCTCATCCGCGTAGGATTCATAGCCACAGCCATCTTCATGGTCCTCCTCCGGTAGATCAGGAACTTCCCAGCCGCTGATGACCACCATGGCTTGTCCTGAAGACGAAGACGACCTTTGCCAGGTCCACGCGTCCGCTGAGGGCAATTCTGATACCCGTGATCTCGACTGCCACAAATGAAACAGCCGGTGTAGTTGGGACCTTTTGCCTTCCCTTTGGATCCTTTGACTGCCATGAATGTCGGTGAGGCAGCCGCCAATGTAGGCGTTGAACCCTTGCCTTTTCCTTTTCCTTTCGAAGCCTTGCCCTTGCCCTTGGCCGCCTGATAGAATCCTCGATTCCGCGCCTTGTCCTTCATGAGAGTGCGCGCCTGGACGAAGGTGCGCACCTTATCTTTGTAGGCAGCATAGGCTTCATCAACTTGCTTCTGTTCCTTACTCGTGAGCTCCGGCTCACTCCACTCCTCTGTCCACCACGTTGGAGATGACCACCATGTAGGCTCATCCCAGGTTGCCGTAGAGCTCCACCATGCATCACCGCCTGATTCAGCATCAAGTTCACCTGCAGAACCGGCAGCAGATAGGGCGTACACCTCCGCCGGAAGCTCCTTGCCAATCCAATGCACTGGGGTCTCATCCGAAGAGTCCGGGTGCATGTCCAGAAGGCCCCATTCTTGCTCCTGCTCCACCCAGTACGATCGCTTCTGTCGTCCGCGTCGTTCAGATGCCCGAGCTTCAGCTTGAAGAAGTTCTTCTTCTTGATCACGTAGAGCGCGCTCCACTTCCGTGAAGCGCAAGGAGTTTCCGATCGCTGCTTGCACGGACAGACGAGAACTCGCAGGAAGGCCAGCTCGCCTGAGAAGCAACCATCCAAGGACCTCGTCGGGCAACACCTCCATCGTGTCCACCTCCAACTCATCCCAGGGCAGATCATCAGGATCTGGTTCTTGAGGCTTGTCTTTGGATTCCATCTCTCGCCATTTCTGCCAATCTGCCTCAGTCCACTTGCCGTCCTCGCCTTCCCAGGTCATCTCGTGGATCTCGCCCTCCAAGTCGCCAGCTTCTTCGCGTTGGCCGTCAGCAGGGGCGCTGCGAGTGCTCTTCGCAGGTGATCCAATATCCCGAGAAGTGTCTGCCGAAGGTGGCTCCGGCTCGGACTGAGTCTCCATCGAAGCTCGTCTTGGCCGCGTCGAAGGAAACAGCAGATGTCGATCTGCAGCCTTGCCCCGCTTCTCGTCATACTCCTTTCTCGCACGAACCAAAGCTCGTTGAAGGCGACGATAGGTTTCCCGAACCTGATGCGCCCATTGAGAAAAGGGAGTGCCGGGTGTCCGCCGCAAACGGACCAGAAGATCTTCCAAGCGAGCTCCGGCATCTGGTACAGGGGCTCGGCATAGGCGATCACGAAGATGAGTGAGGAGAAACTTCGCTCCATGTTGCCCTTGCAGACGTCCATGGTCAATCTCGAAGCAAGCCTCCCAGGCTCTGTCCGTCAATCGACTCACCAACTCAGGACCCAACAGATATCTCTTCTCCAGGGCCGTCTTCTCGTATTGAAGTCTCACCTTCCGCACATAATCTGGCCATTGATGAGCATCTCCGTTCCACGAGACGCAGAAATCCTTGGCTGTGACCGTCGTCATGGGGCACACCAACTTCCAACAAACCAGAGCGAAAGCACCGAAGGAGAAGACCAACAGGATGCCGTAGAGCAAGATAAGGAAACGAACCCACCAATTTCGGTAGCCGGGGGAACCCTCAAGCTCCCGAAGCGCGCTCAAGCACTTTCACACACACGTCGCCATGCTCTGCATTAAAAGCGAATATTGGCTGAAGGGATCCCTTTGGACCGAAATGCCATCCATCGGATATTCACACATGTCCAAACCACTCAAGCTCATGCTCCTTTGAAGCAGTCACATGTATGGATGCGAGACACATCGGAGGCTGATCCTAAATTCATTCACATTGCCTGTCCGAAAGCATGTTGAACATTGGCCAACTCTTCCCGCACTGCCAACATGCTGAGCCAAAACTGAGAAATTCGATGGGAAGGGGTGGCCCATGCATGAAAGTAAAGGCCGGATGAGATTTGTAATCTTCCGGTGGCCATCGACATTCAATCAGGCAGCTGCTTGCTGGCGCAGGTTTCTTTTCGGCGGAGCATATGAGGTTCGGTCACGATCGCTGGCAGTCTTTGGCATCCCTAAAAACTCACTGAATTTCCAACAAAACTGGGGGTTTGTTCTCCAATGCATTTGGCTGCTTGTGTGCAACCCCCTCCCCCCCTGCTTGTGTATTTACCCGCCCAGGCATAGGTTTTCGTGCGTACCCACCCCACGTGCCAACTGCTTGCGATTGACCGCGGCCTCACGCGAGCGCGGGGAGGTGTCAGCCACGGCACTGGGGGCCATGCTGGCCGACCTGGGCGCTCAGGTCACCAAGGCGAAGTCAGTGTTTGGGCTACTGCGGGAATTCGTTGTGCAAAGGTTCCGAGTTTTATTGGAGACCACCTGGTGCTAGTACATATGTGTAGATATGTAAATGTATATGTATACATTTAAATATATATATATATATATATAATTTGCCCCCTGTACTCCTGCGCAGGTGTTGCACCCAGGATTCCTCCAGAACAAAGGCCTGACGTCTCCTGAACTGTTGAAGGGGGCAGGCTTCCGCACCGAGGAGAGGTGTTTTTTCTGGTTTTGGTGTCCCTGGCCGTAGGCTTTGCTTCCAGGAGAATGCATGTTGCACTGGTTTGCTGTGAGCCGATCGCTTTGCTTGGAGCCTGCGCATGCTGCGGCTTGCTCCGTTTTCGGTGTTCATGCCGGTGGGGACTTCTGCTCGGCCTTGCTTGGCAGTGTGGACTCGCGGTTGGCCCAGGGCTGCATTTTTCGGCGCAGGTGGAGCGGCCGCAGCGCCCGGATCCCTGGAAGCGCACTTGCCCCCAGCTGTACCAAGACCTCACCTGCCGCAAAGAGGCCGTGGGATGCGGAGGGCTGGGAAGGTGATTGGAGGGAAGAAGCGCAAGGGAGCCGACGGGGTAAGGACCATATGCGCACGTCGAACTTGAAAGGACCATCAGCGCTTGATAGAGCTGAAAGTCAAGGCTTGCCCCAAGCCCCCCGGCACAATCAGACGCCGCAGAGTTTTGCGGTTGGCCGTGCGCTTAATGAGGCTAGTCAGCTGGCAGCTTTGTCCCCGGAATGACCACCACCGCGGATTACTTTTCCTGTTTCATCTCCGCCGCTAAAGCGCAACAAGCAAATACTACAGAATTTGCGGGCATTCGCACAATTCAGTGCTCATGTGCTGAAGCAGGGAGACGCTTGCCAACAGTTGGAGACGGCCCGATAGAGCGCACTTGGGACCCTACCAGCCATCATGTGTTTGCTTTGCCGTATTTCAGCAACTTGCAAACGCATGTTTCGCATGTCATTTGGGCACAAAGCAAGTGCGAAGCACTTTGGGCCTCGCGCATCCAGGCAGAGCCCTGTTTGGGTTAGAGCCTTTTGAATGTCTACAAGCCCCTTGCTCCTGAATTCCCCCATTTCCATAGGAATTTCCCCAAGACTTTCTTCAGGATTCCGGCCTTGAACCCACAGCCCTGGTGAGGTGCAGCAGGTGAACTACACGGGCGTGGGGGGCAGCGACGCCAAAAGCGGCGCGCCGCTGCCGGGCCAGGCGGCGCTGTACCGAACGCTGGCGGAGGCCACGGTGCTGGTGACCAATCTGCCACTGGCCGCCCTCGAGGCGGGGGGTTACTCAAAGACTCTAGGTTTAGGGGGCGTGGGGTGGGGTGGGGTGGGGTGGGATGGGTGTTTGGGCGGGGTGGGTGTTTGGGCGGGGTGGGTGTTTGGATGGGGGATTTGTGGTTTGGGATTCTGTTTGGGGGTTTGGGCGCGTTTGGTTCATGGGGCTCATGGAGCAAAACTCTTCTTCAAGTTCATATCGGCGCTCCCTGATGCTTTACCCGGTGTTGCTTGCCTGAGGGCTGTTGAAGACAGTCTTAGCATTTGGCACCTGAGGCCTGTAACGACAATTTGAACATTAGTTTTGCGACTGGAGGCAGGTGCATGGAGCAACAGCATTCAAAAGCATGGAAGTGTCGAGTTTGTCTGAACTGCCTTTTGCCATACTCAGAATCGACCAGGCTTGGGGCTTGGAGCCGAAGCGCTTGAGGGAGATGTTCCCTCACCTGATCATCGCCACTTGGTGGGTTGTTTGGTGGGTTGTTTTGGGTGAGCTTTGCGTTAGCTTAGGTGTAGTGTTGAGGTGGCTTGGCTGGGTCTGTTGTAGTTGACTTTGCGTCGTGAAGATTGGAAGATCTTTGGACCGGAGGTGTCCAAACGTGGTCCCCCAGACATACAATTTTGACACCCATTGAAAACGCACAGTGCAAGAAGCCCACGGCACATGGAGTCTACTTGCTCCTATGTCCACAATTCAGTCTGACTCATTGAAAGGTTTCACCCACCCTGCTGTGGGCATTCAGCTTGCTTGGCATCCAATCTGCCCAACTCATGGCTTTCCGGAATCAAGCAACATCCGGGTCGATTCGACCGTGTCCGGGCACCGCCTTGCTCCACTCAGTTCTCACGACAGGCACGCATTTGGGGTACTGGCCATGGAGAAGGTTCCTCACAGGGATATCCCACAGCTCCGTGTTTTTCGTTTCAATTTCAGCACTTTGAATGGAGAGGGTTCAGGGAACAGGCGAACCAAGAGCACAAGGCCAATCACTGCAGCTTTCCGTAGCTTCCCTCCTTGCCGTGTTTGCAGTGCGGAAGCGTGAAGAGCTGTAGCAGTAAACAATGACCTTGACTGGCTCGCCAAGCTGCGAACCAAACAGCCGATTTTTGCGGGAAAGAATGGCTCTCAGAGCGAGGCGCTCCCTTTCCCTCCCCTCCCTGTTTTCCTCCCTCCTCCCTCCCTTCCTCCCCCCTCCCCTTCCTCCCCTCCCTCAGGTGCTGATCACTACCTGGGGCTGTGACGTGTGGGCGCGGGAGAGAGAGCTGAGCAGCCGCAAAGGCGGCCAGGAGTCCCATGCCTTCTGGGAGGCGCATCGGAGTACGGTCGCCCGGTTGCCCCTCAAGCTGGTTGAGCTTTTGCTGGCCAACTTCTGGCCTGAGTTGTGACGATGTTCTTTGGGTTCACGTTCCCGTCGCAGATGAACCCCCAACACCGGCAGATTTGAGTTCGCAGCAAAGTTGGCCCAATTTTGGGTCTGGTGTCGCCTTTGCTGCCCTTTAAAAGACAAATCCCGAATTTTTGCTTCAAGGGGATCCCTTCAGACCGAGGGCATCCCTTGAAGCAGAAGAAGCCCAGCGAGTGCCAGGCCAGCGGCCTGGGCCAGACCTTCGGCGTCCGCAGTGAGCCCCCGGGCCTGGGTGAGCTGAGCCTGGCGCAGCTGGCGCTGGGGGGCCTGGGCGCCGCGCTGCTGCGGCAGCAGCGCACCGGCAATGGGCAGCTGGTGCAGGCGGACCTCTATCCGGGCATGCGGAGATGCGACTCCCAAAACCCAGAGAAACCGCTGGAATGCCCTGGTCCTCCCTTGGCCCCTTTTTGGGGTGCTTGGCCTTTTTTTGGCCGAGGCGGGTTGCAAGATTCCACACCCAACATGGGAAACGCCTGTGTTTGGGAGTGCGTTGCCCTCGAAACCTCCCTTTGTTGGGTGCCTTGTCATGCCGTGGCATGAAAAACTTACTTCCGAAGCTATCGTGGGTTCGGGGCACTAAACCCGGATTCTGAAAGCAAGTCCTGAAGTGTTTGTGACTTGGATCCCACTCACCCTGCACTCAGTCGCAGGACACCAGTTGCCAACCTGCAAAGTGCATTGGTTTGCATCAGTGCGCTGTGCAGGTGAGCCGACACCGTGCTGGAGTGTACTGCCCCTTGGTTTGGAGAGATGGGCCACCGGGCAGGGTGCGGCTTTGGCTGCGTCGTTTGGGCGCCCAGATGGAGTCTGAAACCGACAGATGCTGGGAAGACGAGGGGGGGAGCCAAGAGCTGGGAGATAGGTCGGATGCACGAAGCTGTTGCCTTGACAAGACCCTTTGGACGCGAGAGCGGGAGAGAGACAGAAAGGGGGAGAGAGAGAGAGAGAGAGAGGAAGCCAACGTTTTCAGGTGCAACCAGTATTCTTGGTGCCTCGGGTGAAGCTCAATGATTGCCGAGGGAAGTACTTCGTACTCGGCGTGCTTTGCGAAGTTGCTCTTCATCAGCTCATGCCACCTTGACAAATGGGCGGTATCTCCACAGCTTTTGAGGGATCTTTTCCAAGCTCAGCAGGTGCAAATTTGCGAGAGGGCTCCAACGGTGGGACACCGTTGTTGGTATCGAAATTTGGGCCTCAGGTTTCTCACTCCCACCAAAAAAGGAGAGAAACCGATATGGGGCGATTCTCAAGCGGTGATCCTCATGGTTTGTGTCCTTTTTCCCCCCCTTTCGATGGTATCAATGCCAACTGAATCGAGTCATCAAGGCCAGCGCCTGTCGGCGCTCGAGCCGCCGGAGCCGCTGAGCAGCCCCCTGCTGCAGACGCTGGACGGCCGCTTCCTGCGGCTCCTGGGCCGAGGACGCCTCGATTCGATGGGACCGAGGAACGCCGAGGTCGCTTTGGCTGGGGAGGGATAGGCAAATGACTGGCAGGGCAGGTTTTTCTGCCTGTGGTTGGCCTGCTGAACCTCCGGTTTTTGAAATGCCAGAGATTTCCCAGAAGCAAAACCCAGGGCAGACCCGATCTACAACCCCAATGCTTGACGCATCACCCAGTCTTAAGCAATTAAACAATCGTTCCAACTGAGAATAAAAAGGGTGTCAAGCATCCACCCACCTGTTTGGCTAAGCCCGGAGCTCGGAAAGCTGGCAGGCAGAAAGGCCTGGCGGCCTGGAATCCAGGCACTTGAGCCTTCACTTAACCAAGCATAGCAGTTTCATGGAAGGCTTTCCCTTTTGAATGGTGCAAGTTTGGAGGACGTAACGCGCGCTGCCAACCAAAGACTCTATGCCCTCCTTCGGTCCACTCTTTCCCCCGAGTTTCCCCTTGTAGGGCCGGTGGCTTGAAACGTCACCTGTCCAAGACCATCTGATTTCAGCAAGCATTCATTTGGGGTGTCCCCGACAACCCTTCAGGGCTGTACCAGCATCAAAGCGCACCAGCCAATAGCTTATGGCCGATTTCCTCCTGGGCCGCGAGGACATCAGCCGCACGACGCCTGGGTCCTGCTGCACGCGGTTGGCCGCCGCGAGAATCTGGCGGACCAGCTGGGAGGCCGGGGGCGAGAACTGACCTCAGGCCCCACACAAGAGGTTTGCCGTAGCTTCGCCGAAAACTTCGGCCATGGCGCCAAGAAATTGGCAATCAGAAGCCAAACCAAGCAAAAGCGCATGCTGAGATTGCTGTGGGGGGCCGGCCCGGAGGTTTGGCTTCTAGGGCTGGACCTCAAACAGGGGATGTGCTCACATTGGAGGTTAAAGCGACTGTCATGGAGGAATTTCTTCATTGGCATTTTTGGGCGGCCAGGGGGCATCGAGAAGCTCCGGCAGAAGTTGGAGGGTTACAGCTGGGAGGAGTCGCGAGAGGGCGAAACTCAGAGGCTGACTTGCGGGTCCACGATTCGTCGCAGAAAAGGGCTTGCGAGTTCTCATGTTCGGTCACAAATTGACAAGTTGACAATGGTTCATTCAGTGACGTGGGGGGACTCTAGAAGTTTCCCATTATAAGGTAAGGGCAGCCATGGGTGTAAGGGAAAGAAGGGCTGTGAAATTTGTTTCTCCATTGCATCCCGTTGAGATGGTCCGAAATCATGCACTAAACGGCTACGGCACAAGGGTCGGCCTCATACCATGGAGGGCCCCTCAAGTATGCCAAGCTTCGTATCAAACACGCGAGCCACAGTCTATAGTTACTTCCACCCTAATGTTGACCCAGGATTAATAAACCCGTTCCTCTATTAGGGGGGTGTTCCCTCCAAAAGTGATGAATCCCCACTAAAAGGGGACACCCCCCTATTAATCAACCAGAGGGGTGTATCAATCCGGGGTCAACATTACAACGTGATTGACCAGAGTCCCTCTCCAGGTCCCCTAGCCCTCAGGAGATCCAGAAGCACCAGGACGAGTTGCTGGCCTGCGCCCGTGAGTGGACCTTTGAGGAGCTCCTTCCGTCAATCTTTCGAAGCACTGAGGGTTTCGCGTGCCGGGCATCGCTTCCCTTCATGGCAATTGGGGGCTCCATAAATGGAGACCACATTGACCACATCGCACCAAAAGAACAACAAGTTGCCCTTCTCAGGCACACCACACTGTTCATCGCAATGAGCAGTCGGTTTTGTAGACGGCAATGTCTTGCTTTTTGCTTGGCATTTTTTCAGTTGACGGCCTCTATTACCAACCCGCTCATCTTGGCTTGCTTGGAACGGTATGGAATGGTCCATGCTTGAGTTCCGTCAACTCCTTCTTCGGCCCAAAGAAGGAAGCCCCAGCCTTGCCAGGACCTGTCAAAGGCCTTCCAGGCTGGCGGCCGGGAATGGCGGGGCGAAGAAACCATGGGCTCCTTGAGAGCCCTTTGTCGTAGGTTCAGCCTTGGGCCCCAGAGCCGGAGGAAGAATCTGACAGTCTTGTTCCCAAAATTGGAGCTATGAACAGCCTTCTCTTGGACCACGCGTAAGCAAGTTCTTGGGTTGAAATATTCACTTGTCGACGGTAACCAAAATTTGAGTGGAGCAAGTTCGAAGAATCGAAGAAGCAGTCCCTGCCCCCGATGCGCCTTCAGCTTCTAGGCTCGCTTTGGGCCCAAATTGCCCCTTCCTGCGCTTTCGTCCGCCCTCCTGCTCAAATAGGGCGACGGCCGGTCCTCACTGGTTTGTTCGTGAACTTTCCAAGCAGCCGAGAATGGCAGAGTGTTGACCCCGGATGAATAAACCCCTGTTTATTAATATGGGGGTGTCCCTGGGTTCAGTGGGGATTTATCAGACAAGGGTGTATTAATCCGGGGTCAACATTAAGAATTCAGGTCTGAGCTTCCAGCGGTTGCCTTGAGACGTAGGATGGTTGTGCTTCCCCTGCGCCGTGTGTTCATGGCGGCCTCGCTTCCTCAAAATGGGGATTGAAAGCAAAATGTCAGCTTTCTTGAAACTTCACCACAGATGCATTCCGTGAAGCTGTCCACTTCACTGGCGGGGCAGACCGATCTCGTTCGCAGGAGGCACTTTGCTTGGTGCTGCCCCTTTTTTGGAGGGTAGGTTTCCTGGCCCCGGTCAGGACAAAGGCATCACCTGGTTTGTGGAGGAGATGAGGCCCACAGACGCCGAGGCGTTGCACAGGCGTGCCATGCTGGCAGGGCGGGAGGTGGGATGGTGGAATAGGGTAGGCCCCTACCTCCACTTCTCTTCGTTGGACAAGTGCGGCCGCCGAAAACGCACTTCAAACTGCTTGCTCGCCCAAGCTGGACATGAAACGCACGAGTGTGCTGCCCCAACCAGGAAGCAAGCTTCAAGGCACAGGGGTGAAATGACTCTTGACCACGAGTGCCTTGCAGGACGTAGCTCAGAGGGGGGGGGGGGTCAGGGGGTTGCTCACACCTGGACATGATTCGTAATAGTACTCATGGCTGTTTGATGAAAGTTGAAGATGTGGAAGTTGCCTTCCTTACTGTGGATGGACAGAATTCTGCGCCACTTTGAAGCCTTGAGAAAACATTGTATGTTGATATCTACAGGGGAATCAGCAGAAACCAGGGTTTCTTAGGTGGTGCAAAATGGTTTTTGTCAATCTAGAGTATCACCCCATCCCTTCCCCGTGCTCGTCACGTGGCCTGGCTCAGCCGTTGGGGGGCCTTCGTTGCCGCCTTCTTCTTGGGGCCCCGCGCGCTGTGGGGCCCATGACGCGCGACCGCTCCCGGTCGCCGCGGAAGACGGAGGTGAAGGAGGGGGTTTTCAGCTCGAGCTGGAGCCTTTTGAAGCCTTGGGTGCGGGCGGCGCACGCAACATGGGGCGTTTCGATGTTTTAACGTGTGGCTTATTTACCTAAAATGTGCGCTGCTCACGGCCTGAGTCAGGGCGGGACTCCTCCCAGCAAAAAGAAGCGGTCGCGCTTCGGACGGCTGTTGTTGGAAATGCCGACGCATTGTTTTTTTTTCTCCCCTTTTTCCGTTGCCAGCCAGAAACCTAGCGTCTCCAACCTTTGACTCCAAGATTGTGGTTTTGTAAAATGAAGGATCCCCATCAGCGCACCTGATTCCATGGTTGTACCTTGAGAGCCGCAACACCATGCCTCGTAGCCCGAACGCTGGCTTTCAACCACCTCCTCAAATGCAACACCTGGCATGAAGATGCTCTCCTGGTGACACCAATGCGCCAAGGTGGCGCACGGTTCAACCGAACCAGGGCCAAGAAGAATTGAGTTGAAAAGTCTCCGAGCCAAAGGCCCCAAAGATGCCCCGCCGGCGCTGGGTGCCGAAGCCTTCGCCTTGGCCCCTGATCTCCTTAGGAGATCCCGGTCATCGGGGACAGCCGGGTACTCATCGCGGCCAATTTGTTGGAGGAGATCCCCTCGCGGCTGCATGCGTTGGGGCTGAAGCCGGCCGCACTGGCGGGGGGCCCAAGGATTTTGGGGTACATGTGCGGAGCTTTTTCGTTGCAGCTTGTTGCTTTGCCTTTTTGTTCAGTTCTTCGGTTCTTTGGTTAAGTGGACCTTTGGTTTCTTTGGTTATTTGAAATCTTTGATTGTTTTTTGCGGTTCTTTGGCTCTTGAGTTCCCACCGTGTGCCAGTGTCGCCGACTGGCTCTTGGCATATGATTTCCTGCATGCCTACGGATGCATGGCTGTCGCGTGTCGCTGTGTCTTTCTCCCACGCAAAAACAAGGTGCCGCTTTTGACATCACCCTTTGCTTTGAGCAGACAACTCGACTGTCTAAAGTGTGAGCAGCCTTGCGGAAGTTCTGGTTTGGCATGCAAGTTCAGCACGACAGCAGTCAAAGTGTTGGGCCCAGCCTTCTCAGGCCGTTGTCAGCGACAAGACGGTCGATGGTCACCGCCTCAGAGCGACACCGGTTTAACGGGAAGGTGGAGGCCACTGCTTTTTTTCTTCAGCCCTTGGATCCTCTCTTGACCAGACTCATGGTCATGGAAGCGGACCGGGCCGTTGTAAGGGGACCTTTTGCCTTCCATCCCGTCCGTTTCCTCGGCTGCCTCGCGGTTTTCGAGGCCTCTACGGGGAGCGCCTGGCTGCGGCCTTCCAAAAGCACGGGGCGGAAAATCCGGGCGGCCCCCGCGTGCTGCGCTACGCCTTCGCGCCCGGGGAGTCCTCCAAGAACCGGGAGACCAAGGCAGCGATCGAGGCCGGGGTACGGAAGCCTGGGGCAAGCCCGGCTCAGGGTCTCCGATTTTTTCTTCAGAGGAGCCACACTCAAAACCTGGATTAAAGTTGGATAGGGGACAGTTGCAAGTCCCAACCTCAACCAGCTGCGTTGGATTCTGGGTGGGCCGCTTTAGTGCCAGGTTTTGCTGACGGCTCACGCAGAACTGTGGTTAGTTGCAAGCAGCCGGCGAGAGCAGATCGCGCATTCGCACCCGTACACGCAGATAGAACTGGGAAGTGCATATTCTTTGAAGCTGACCATCGGAAGCACGCTTGAATGTTTGGAGTGCGGTGTCGTTCATCCACCTTTTGGACCACTTCGAGATAGCTTTCATCGAGTTTCAATTTGCGGGCCCAGAATTGTTGCCCCAGACCCTGCGGAACCCTCTAGAAGCGCTCGCCCCGAAACCGTCGCCGAAGTGGCCCCATGGCCAATAGCCAGGACTTCATGCTGGCGAACAAGTGCACGCGAGACAGCGCCATGCTGGCGCTGGGGGGCGGGGTGGTGGGGGACCTGGTGGGCTTTACCGCTGCCACCTACATGCGCGGGGTGCCGGTGGTGCAGGCGGAGGGGTTGGGGTGTTTCGGGCTTGTTCTTTTTTTGGGGGTATGTGTGTGTGTGTGTGTCTTTGTGGGGCGTATGTTTTCTTCTCCCCGGACGGGGGGGTGGGGTGCAGGTGCCCACCTCCACCATGGCCATGATCGACAGCAGCGTGGGGGGCAAGACGGCGCTGAACGTGCCCGCAGGCAAGAACCTCATCGGAGCCTTCCACCAGCCCAAGGCGCCTGGAAATCACATCGTCCTCTTGTTGCGCTGTGGGGTTCGGGAATGAAGGGTGGAATAGGTGTTTCTCTTTGCTTTGGGTGGGTGCCCCGTGAATTACACCCCGTTTGCTGGGGATTGAGATTTCTGCGGCTTAGCGTTGACATTTCGCGGGTCACTTCGCAAGATGCAGTTCGAGCCTTTGAAACCGCTAGCAGCCGCTAGCAGGCTCTTTGCACCTAGATTTCAATGTGATTACCCCTCGGGCTGTCCACTTTTTGTTGTATGTTTCTGATTGTTCAGGCGTTTAGGCCCCACTTTGCTTGCCGACCCATTTGAGTGGCGTATTGGCTTCCGATTGGTGTGGCAAATCCACTTTCTGCCGGAGCTTTGGCAGGCAGGAACAGCACGGACATGAACAAACTAACTCCAACCTCACAAGGACACAGTCGTGCGCAAGAGTTGTTCCTAAACACCTCGAGCCCATGCAGTTGCGCTTTTTCCAATATTTCGGGGCCCTCCGCCGGGGGCATGGGGGGGGAGCGGGGTGGGGCGCCAGGTGATCTTCGCGGACCCCACGGTGCTCCAAAGCCTGAGCCGCCGGGAGGTGGCGGAGGGCCTGGCGGAGGCCATCAAGATGGGGATCATCCGCACCTCAGCGCCGAATTCGAAGTCGGAGATTCGAAGCAGAAGGGCTCCCCCCGGTTGTCGGTGGGGACGCTTGGCTGTTCCACCGGTCCACCCAGAACTTTTTGAGGCGCTCCCTCCACGAAATGGAAGTATGTCGGAGAGTTAAGGGGGTTTCTCAAAATAGAAATGGGCGCCGTCTTTGCCAGAGCGCTCGCAAATCGTGTCGTGCAAGAAACTGCTCCGCTCCGTTGCTCCGTTGCTTCGTTGCTCCGCTCAGCTGCCCCGTTGTTCCACAAAGCTGCTTCGCTCCGTTGCTCTGTTGCCCGGTTCCGTTGCCTGCTTTGCTCTGTTGCTCCGTTGCTCCGTTGCGTTGCCTGGTGTTTTGCGCTCCGTTGCTCCGGTGCTCCGCTGCCCTGCTCGGTGGCCCTGTTCCCGCGAGCCGCTTCTCCATTGCTCCCCTTCGCTGCTCCGTTGTTCCGCGAAGCTGCTTTGCTTCTTGGCTCCGTTACTCCGTTGCTCCGCTCTGTTACCTCGTTGTTGCGGGAAGCTTCTCTGATCCGTTGCTCAGCTCCGTTTCCCGGTTGTTCCCCGAAGCTGCGGTGCTCCCTTCCTCCGTTGATCTGAGAGACAGAGTAGCAGCGGAGCAACGAAGCAAAGCAGCTTTGCGGAACAGCGGGGCAACGGAGCGGATGTCTGGCGTGTCTTTTGAGGCGATGTAGACAGCGGTTGAAGTACGAATTCTTGAAAGACCAGGCTGCGACTTTGCAGCTGCTTTGTGGGGTGGAGTCGCCAGAGAAGCAAGCAGCCGCAAGCAGGGGAGGGGCTGTGGTTCTGGGATGGCCCGGGAGGTTGCTAAGAGTTACGCATATGCTATGTACTTAGAAGAGGCAGTGCTGCGCCGCGCAGACCCCCTCATAAAATCTACATCCTATGTTGCAAACCTTGTTTACTCCTAGTAACTTCCTCATGTCTTTTAAGAGCTGAGGTCTTTTAGCAGAGGGCTTAGCTGAACAACATAAGTTGTAAATATGCGTGGCTTATGGTATTGCAGTTGCAGCGCTTAGCTGGCTTAGCAGATAAGCACTTATACCCAGATGCTAACATGTGAGCTAAGTGTGAACTGGAAAACACAACAATGGAATTTAATGCAGTTATGCCAGCTCATTGTCACGGGCTTGCACCAATTCACTGCTGCCTTGTTGAGCTTGGGTTTGAATTGCAAACTTGCGTGTTCAAGCCATTTGTTTGCATGCAAGTTCATAAGCACAATAGCAGGCCAGCGCGTGAAAGTCTTTTTGTGGCATTTGCGTGCATGTGCCAAGTTGCCAAAATACTCTGAAGCCAACTTTTTGGCATCTTCGCGATTTTATATGTGCACCTGTACATGCGCACCCAGCAGCATCTGCAAGTTGACAAAGTTGCAGCGCAAAGCCGGCGCATTGACAAGAGTGCTCATGTTGCAGAACACGCTGAAAGCAGCAAAGCGCGTTTGCATGCTAATGTCAATCATGTTTGCAGGTGCATGTTACTTGTGTATTCCGTGGCATGCCTATACCTCATTTGGGTCAATTGCAACTCTGCGATAGAATTTTTTTCCTTTTGCCTGTCATGGATGACTCAGCGAAGGAGAGAATTCAGGAGTTAATGAACATGCTTACAAGATGAGAACGGCATCTTATTCAAGTGGGTGAGCGTTGGGAAGGCGCACCTTGATGCCAACTTGGCTTTCAAAGTGAAAGAAAAGCCAACAAGCATCTCGACGGCCCTTCGGGCGGCTAACAAGGCAGCTGTGCTCCCCGCTGGCTGCAGAAAAAGCGCGCAGTGTGGTTCCTATAATAAGCGGCTCTCGGAGGAAAAAGACTTTGAATTCGCTTGCGTCTCGGGCGCCGACGGAAAGGTGAGCCAGAGAAGCTGGCGTCGTGCCAGAACAAGTACTCTTTGCTCCCGGAGCAGGTGCTGCTCCTTGTCCTGCCAAACGTGCAGTTGCCGGAGGCCAAGGCGAGCGCTGCCAAGGCACAACCATCAAGAGATCCTCTACATGAGTTGCAGCTGGAGTACGGTGCCAAACTGGAGAGATTGCCCCCCATGATTGTCAAGACCAAGATGATGTTTTTGTCGCAGATATGAGGCTGGATTACCAAAGCAGCAGTTTATTCCCGACGCTTGGGGGAGGAAGCTGCTGAAGCCCGCTTAAGTTGGTTTTGCAGCATGGGCGGTTTGGAAATGCGCTGGTGATGTCAGGGCCGGCCAGGCTGGGCCCATGCAAGCATTGATGGCGAGTCGATGAGTTTGGTCCATGATGTGCTGCAGATTCCCAGGTGAGTGGGGCACGATTGCCCAAACGCCCGTGCAAAGTTGCGCATGAGGGCCGAATCCAAGACGGAAGTCAATTCCTTGTGTGCTGTGCTGAGGTCTATGGGAAAGCCAGCCATGGCTTCTCAGGTGGAGAAGCCTCGTGCAGCTAGACTTCCTTCGCAGCGTTGCAGCAACATTGAGGCAGTGATGGGCTTGAGGCTTCGCATCCCAGCCCACGGAGACTTGGTTGGCTCTGACTTCAAGCGCGGTTCTGGAATTTCCAAGAAGATTGACACTTTCTGTGGACGGGTTCGGCTTCCATATTTTCTTGTATGATTTGGACTTAGTACAGAGGAGATGAGTCAGGGTCTTAGTTCCTTTTCTAAGCAAAAAGTGAATCCTGAGACGCGAAGAGCTGCAAACAACGACAACAAGATAACACTGCTGAGCTTCAGAGACACGCTTGTGGCGCAGCGAGCGCGGCGCGTTTTCGTGATTGGCACTGGCTGCCTCGTGCAACTGAAATTCACAAGCTTTCACGCCTTTTGAACGTGCAAGCTTCGTGCTAGTCTGGCTTGTGCTGGTCTGGCTGGCGCACGGTCTTGAAACCAGCATGCTGTCCAGTTGTTGGAGCCCAAGGGCTTCAAACAAAGATTTTTTGGAGGTTAGCACGCTTAGCTGATTCATGTAGACTCTTAGTTCTTGATGCCTTGTGAAAGGAGTCTAAAGCACTTAGTAAGCCTGTTAGTATCCTACATGTTCCTAGCCAAGCAACATAAGACGTTTAGCAACCTCCCGGATCATCCCAGTAGAGCGGATGGGCGAGCCGCGTTGTGGCGAGAACTTCATGTAGCAAAGGAAGTAGAGCAAATCGTAGAATGCGAAGAAAGCACAAACGTAACCTAGCGCCATGCGTGCAAAGGTTTATGATTATATATACGCCCTTTCTTGGGTATGCAACATTTATGCCCTGTTGCAGCAAAGTCACCAAACACAGCGCTGCCGTCAGGGACTTCAAGACATGTGCAGGGGTTTTCGGTTGCATTGACTGTGCCAAAGGCGACACGGAGCTCTTCAAGACAATGGTTGCCAACCCTGAGAAGATCATGGCCTTGGACCAGAAGTTGATGCAGGATGTGATTTCCTTTACGGGTGGGTGGGACATACAGTACAGCCACAAAAAGGAAAGGGTAAGGGCCACGCCCCCCAAGAAGGCGACCCTTGAAACAACTGGGCTAAATGAGCCGAAATCCGAGTGCGAAATGGTTTTTGGCAACCCACCGCTGGTGGACGGCCGAGGGAGAGAGAGAGAGAGAGAGATGCCAGCCTGTTCCTTCGCCATTGTGTGTCATGGGGCCATGCACCTTGAGCAGTGCAAGTGCCAAATGTTTGGAAGAGAATGTGGTGATTGAAACCACGTAACGCCAGGATTATCAAGTAATAGTAATACTGTACTGTGGATGAAGAATAGCCCCGTATACACCGTTGGTGCACAATCCTTTTGAAATTCCTCAGAAGACATCAGGAACACGCCAGGGCAGAGGGCTGAAAAGAATGGGCAAGAAGTCAGAAATTTGGAATCCACAATGCCACAACGAAAAAGGCGGAATGGAAAGGGAGTTACTGCGATCCCCCGGCAGATGGCTCTTGGCAGCCAGGAGGTGCTACACAAGGCGGTGGCGCACAAGGCGGACATCGTCGCCATCGACGAGAAGGAGACTGGCCTGCGCGCCACCCTGCCGCCTGCTTTATCCAAGCGCGGGTGCATGTACTTCACTTCCCGAGCTTCTGGATTTGAACGTTTTGGCGGCATCCTTCGAATGGTAGGCAACCAACTTACATTTCTTTTGGCCAATCCGCCCAGGAACTGCAGGCAGTCGCAGATGGGGTATTTGAAGTTGTTTGGTGGCTCGGCGCTTCGGAGCCGCGGCGGCCGAGGAACTACGGCCATACCATCGGCCACGCCATCGAGGCGCTGGTGTCGCCCAAGCTGCTGCACGGGGAGCCGCTCGCTGAGTGGGGGGGGAGAGGGGGGGGGTTCGCAGCCAAAAATCGAAGGGAAGGTCTCAAACATGGATCAGGAAGGACTTCCCTTTCCAGCCATGCAGTGGGTCTGAAAGTAACCATCTCACCGAGAAAAAAGTAGGCGAGAGCCGGGAGGTTTTTTCGTCGCACACGGCTGCCATGAGGCTGGCTCAACCAACCTTCTGACCAAAGCCCAAGGGAAGCCAATGAGTCGGATAGGCGGCAAGTGCCAGTTTCTTGAGTCAGGTTTGCCAAGCTTGCCATCAACAACACGCATGAGTGCCTCTAACATCATTAATGGGTTCATGTGTACCTGTTCCGCTGGCATAGCCAGGATAACATACCCCTAGGCCTAGTGCTGCACTGCCACTTGCTTTCACTTGCGCACTGCGCCAGAGAGTGAGACAGAACCCAACACAAGGTTGCTATTTCTCATGGTTCCTACTGAATGAACCCTGGAGTTCGTTTGGTGCTCTCTCCGCCGAGATGCAACGTCGCTGGCCCAGGTTTGGCAGGCGTTCCTTTTTTGGAGAACGACTAAAGGTTGGCTTGGCTGTTCAAAGGCAGCGCTATCTATCCTTTCCTTGGGTTGCGAAAAGGGGTGCCGGGTCCCCTCGCTGCTCCAGGGGGGTTCCCCTCGTTGGAGACATCCCCGTGTTCCCCACGGGGGCTGCACGGCTGCACGGCGAGCGGCGAGGTGTGTGGCCATCGGCTGCGTGGCGGAGGCGGAGCTTGCTTGCCGGATGGGACACCTCAAGGCGGAGGCGGGTCGGATGCGAGGAGACATGGATATAGCGGTGGACGTTTCCTGTTGGTGTTTTTTTTTTGCAGCTTTCTTCGGTTCCAAGCCAGGGGTGAGTTTCAGCAGCCAGGAAGGAGCAACTTCGAATTTACAGGAAGAAAACATCAAAAGCACAAAGGGCAGCAATGTGGAGGTCTGGGCTGGACAGATGACACCTTGTCATTACTTGCGAATTCACTGGCTGGAACGTCCAAGTTGCGAGATGACAAACAGATGCTTAGGCATCTCCATCAAAATAATGTCTTCTGCAAGGATTCCTTCTGAGTTGGCTCGCTACATTGCGTAAACCAGAATTTCCTAGCCAGCTACCCGCATTCCCCTTTTCTTCCCATGGCCACTTAGGTCAAGTATTGAGAGGGCCGTACATCTAAGTAGGGAGAATGCGTGCGGAGGCCATCCCCGAGATCCGGAGCTGCTTCCAGGTGCGCCTTTCTTTCTTTCTTTCTTTCTTTCTTTCTTCCTTTTTTTTGGGGGGGGGGATATGTCAGGTGTGAGCTATTGTTGGCATTTTCACGGTTCTCGGGTTGGTGTTTCTGCTGCTTTGGGAGGCAGGCGTGTGAAGCCCATGGGCCCTTGGGCCCTCCGAGAACCCGAGGCGTACGGACTGCCTGTGGTGCCCCCGGCCGGTTTGACCCTGGAGAAGGTCATGGAGAAGATGGCCGTGGACAAGACCCCCGGCTGGCTTCGGGTGGAACTTTTTGCAGGGGGGTCAACAGCAACCAAGCCAGGGTTCCCCTCACTGCGTGCGAGGGTGTTGGGCGGCAGCCTTCAGGCTGAAACCCTCACAAACCCACTGCGATGTTGGAACGCCGCCCCTCCAAATGGACAAGAGTCGGCACCAGGTTACCTGGTTGCCTTCTGCAACACACCACTCCAAAGGTTCAAATGGTGTGTGTCACAAGCGTGTCAGCCGCCCTTGTTGACAACCCCGACTTAAACCCAGAACCTTCTCTTGTTCAGGAAATCCACCACCCCTGTGTGACAAACAGCAAAAACCCTGCCAGTTTGGTTTGACCCTTCATCCCAGAACTGGCGACCCCGATGGCCTAGGAAGAACCAGGGCAAGACCATTCGCTGCACCATCATCACATCGGTGGGTACTAGCATCGAGCACCCCCTGCCGGTCCAGCGAGAGCTCATGGAAGCGGTGGTGGGAGATATGCTGAAAACGAGCGTGGCCTGTGCCAAAACCGACCCTCTGGTGGAGTAAAAATTCGCGTTCTTTGCATCGTCCACAGCCACCCATGAATCGAAATCATATTGAATCAAAAGAACATTTGACTGTGGGGTGCGAAAATGGCAGCTGCGCGCAGAGATGGGGGAGCAGGAGGGGAGGATGAGTTGGGATGTACGTCTCAAATCTCAACGCGCAACTGGCGACAGCCCTGCCCGCCTGTGGATGCGCATGCTCCATGATCAGCTAATCCCCGCGCGGCTGCAATTACCACGTCAAATGCGCATGCATGGCCCAGAAAGCTCAGCAAGTCTCAAGGGCCCGGGATATTCTGGGCCCTCAACTCAGCATTTACTCCCACATTTGGCTTCCACTCCCTCCCTGATCCTTCCACCAGAATGCTCAGAAAATCGGTTAATTACATGCCAAGAAAATGTACATCTGTATACATGTATATATGTATATATGAATATATGTATGCATGTATCTATGTATACATGCATACATGTACAGATGTATATATGTATATATGTATGCATGTATGTATGTATACATGTAATTATGTATGCATGTATATATGCATATATGTGGTACGCTCCCCCCCCCCCCCGGTGCCTAGGTTGTGCTTGATTTCATACATTTTTTCAGGAAATTTGCATTTTTTGGTAAAGCTTGGGCACCAAGGAAGGGTGTGTGTGTGTGTGTGCCACAATTCTACAATTAGGAATTCTGGACCCAAGATTGCTGGGAGACGTTCAATGTGCCAATCTGGAATTCAAGATTCTGAAATCCCGGAATATTGAATCTTGCGTCCCATTTTTTTATTATTATTCTGGGATTCAAGATTCAAGATTCCCACAAAACAACTATATTGAAATCTTGAATCTTGAATCTTGAACCTCATATTTTTTTTTAGACATGGGATTCAATATTCAATATTTCACAACAATCTTTTTCTGATAATCTTGAATCTTGAATCCAATAATTTTTATTTTATTTTCTAAATATCCAGGTTTGTCCCAATACTCTCGGTGTTCAACAAGATTCTCGGAAAAGCTTTCCGTGAAATATTTCAATCTCGAACCTTGAATCCAGTGGTAAAATACGTTCGAAGTTTTAGAACAACTTGATCATTTTCAGGGTTTTGACCAGGATGGATGATTCTTAGGAAAGTTGTTGTTTGTGCAATCCTCGATATTGAATCCTCAATCCAGTGGTAAAACACTTTCAAGTGTGAGAAGAACTTGAATGTTGTTTGGGTTTGGCCAGGATTGACAATTCTCAGGAAAGTGTTCTGTGTATTCTTCAATCTTGGTTTTTCCCATCCAGTGCTAAAATACTTTCAAGTGCTTAGCGATCCAGTGGAAACGCTTTCAAGTTATTAGTTAGACAAACTTTTAAGTGCTTTTGGTGAGCGGTTTGCTTCATGTTAGCTATGAAGCGTGTTGACCCTTTTGCAGGAGGTTAACAAAGGTAGGTGTAATGCTCAACAACAGCATTGTAGGAAGAGGCGCAGGATCATTAGGGGTACTATATATGTGTGTATGTATGTGTATACATATATTCATATGTATGTATGTATGTATGTATGTATGTTCACACACCCCCCCCTCTTGAACTACCTCTCCACATTTGCTCATCTACTGCCTCCGCCTTTTGAGATAGAAGGAATTTTAAATGTTGTCCTGTGCAAATAGAACTTTAAATGCAACTGATTCAGCTAGAATCCCTGTTTCGAAATATGTTTAAAATTTGAACCTCTCTTCCCTTGAATTTCCTTTTGTCTAACAAGTTTAATTTCGGACCTTTCTTATGCTGCAAACGGGCCAGGATATAAATAACACAGATCGTATCTCGAATTTCCTTGTAGAAGTCCCTTAAATGTTTAGCCATATTTAATACGAACTAAATTTGAGAAGTAGTCTCTATTTAATTGTTATTATGAAAAGCTAATTGAGTTGTGTTCGTACTAGATTATATCTAACACTTAGAGTATATTTGAGAATAAACTCCTAACTTCTTTTGTTGAAGATTAGTTGGAGTTTGCCCGAACCTATACTGATATTCCCATGTAGCTCCTATTTGGAAGGGATTTGCCTGTATAAGCTGTAGTTGAGCAATGTTGAGCATAAACCAATTTTTGTTTCTATATCCTAACCAAATTATATTCAAAGTTCCAAATCTAGTTGAAGTAAAATCCTATTTGGAAAGGGTATCATATTGGGACATTTCGGATCTTGCAATGATGGACTGCAAGCCCATTCGTCTGTGCTTAAAATCTTTTGCAAAAAAAACAACTCTAGAGCCTGCGCGCTGAAATCAAGCAAAACCTAGGCACCAGGGGGGGGGCGTTGCATATATTGTATGTATATCAAGTTTGCATGTCCTTACATTTGCTTGCAGCGCTCGGCTTAATGTTTCCAGCCCTTCGAGGGTCAACCCCGGGCGCAGGCAGCGAGCGGAGCAACTGGAGGCCTTGCGGCAGAAGCAGCAGGACGCCGCGGAGAAGGCCCTGGAGATGGCGCCCCGAAGTGCAAAGATCCGCAGCCGGAAAGCCGAAAACAAGCAAAACACGCGCCCGGAGGGTTAGGAACCTCCCTCAAAACCGGGAGTGAGTGAGTTGTCCGTTTTGGACTTTCGCTTTTTTTTTTTTTTTTTTTTTTTGGGGGGGGTTTTGGTGGCCGTTTTTGAGGGGTAAACGATTTGGTTTGGAGGTGTTTTTTTCCTGCCAATTTGTTCAGGGAGTCAGTGGGCGTTTCGGAAAATCGATCAGCCCTTCAGGTGGTTGATTTCCTTCTTTTAGTAGGTGGCACGAGAGTGGGAGAGAGAGAGAGCGAGAGAGATGATTTTAGTAGGTGGGCGAGAAACTCAAAATCGAGGAACCCACCACGTTTCCTCTTGGTCTCCTTGTTGGTTTTTTTTTCAGATGTGATATTTCCAGAACCTACACCTTGTGATAATCTGGTTTTCCATTTGTCATTTCTTTGAGTAAAGACAAACGCCAAGAACACGAAAGTTTCACATGTGATCGATCATCACACGTGATATCATATTAAATTTCGATATTTGAAATGATTTTAGCTCTTCCTTTTTCGTAGCTTTCTGGAGGCGGTCTTCCTACCCTGTTTCATGGGTGCTGTGTAGTAGGGCCCAACAAAGCCCTTTTCGGCCATGTCAATAGAAACTCACGTCAACGCGTTTTCGCTGCTCAAGTTGCAGAGGGAGTTGCCTCCTCTTGCTCTTGGGTATTTCTTCCAGTCGGTTCCTTCAGATTTGAATCCGAGAAAGAGTTGAGGGTGGCCATTGCTCGGTGGCTCCCAGCCATCCGGTTCCTTAGCTTTTTCGCCTTTTAGTGTTTAGTGGCAGCTTCCATTTAACCCACAAAAAGTTAAACCTTTAGCGGGGGATCCGAGGGCAGCCCAGATTGTGCTGTGTGACACGTATGCTTTTTTGCGTGTGCTTGCGGGCTGGGGGCAGTGCTAACCGCTCAGTCGGCTGGAGCTGGCATCTAAGGGCCAGCGCTCGTCGGAGTTTCAGCAGCTCGGGCTGCAAGGGCATAGCCTTTGATTCTAGAAGAGAGTTCAGCGATGCCCAGTAGTGGAGTTTTGCATCAATGTGCGATGACTTTTCGTTTTTGTTTATCCTCTCACCCTCTTTGGCTTCCTCCACGTGGGGGAAGATTCATCTCGCTTGCAAGCTAAACTCACGCTACAAAATGCTCGCAAAACTTGGCTTAGACAAATGGGGTACTGCCGCCCTGTTCGGCGAAGCACTTCTCAGGCAATCTTTTTAGCCAGAAGTCTTCAGGACCTAGCGGGCAAATCAAACTCAAGAACCGCACCAATACTGTCGGATCGACAAGGCACCGCAGGGTAAGATGGTTGAAACCCTGTGCACGCTATGTACGCCAATTCAAGGTCAACATGGAGACACTGAGTCGAGCTGGAGAGCGCAATCTAGTGGAATTAGGCAAGGGTGCCTGCCCCTTGTCATTGTTCTGGGGGCCCCAAATGGCTGATGTTCAGGCTGCGCACCCATCGTCAAACCTATTGATGGAGTTTTCTTCAGCCATATCCTGTACGCTGATGACACTCCAATATTCGTCGCAAACACACGATGCATTAGCCACTAGTGTCCTTTTGCACACCATTGAGCATCATCCACTCTATTTCGGAATCAATTTGAACTACGAGAAGTGCGTGAATCCAGCAGCAACCAGAGGCATTCAACAGTCCGATTTGCTGAATGACCCTGAAGCTTTAAGGCCAAGGCCAAAAAGGAGCACGTTCAAACAGTACTTAGATTCAACAAATAGTGGTTCAACCAATGGTGATGTAAAACATGGTGCCCGGAACACTGGTGATTTAAACAACTGTGGTTTTAAAACAATTTGGCTCAAGCAATGGGTAACTGACGTTGAAACAAGGGCTTTCTGTACTGCTGGCCCGCCCCCCCTTGTCCGGGATTCTCAGGCAGCAGCTCCAGGAAGCCAAGGCCAGTGCCCAGGCGGAGCTGCATGACAGGCGGATCCGGGGAAGCGACTTCTGTTGTTTTTTTTTTTGGAGGGGGGGGGGGCGACCTGGAGGGAGGAAGGGGCGACCTCCAGGGGTGGTTTTGGGGGGAAGGCTTCAGCTGTTTGACTTTTTGGTCTGAAGGGGGTCTTTCCTCATTTTCCCTGTTCAAGGAAGTTGGGGTGAGAGGGTGGCTTTCCGTGAAACCAGGTTGCCAGAGTGGCAACAGAGTCGTGGGGAGGGGAATTCCACTTTGGTTTCACGGAAAGGTGTATTTCCGCAAACATGCGTGGGGACAAGGGGCGTGCGGAGGCAGGTGAGCGCTGTTTTGCTGGGGCGCCTGCCTGGAGAACAGACAACATCGGCTGGATTGGAAGGGTAGTTACTTCACTTTTTGGAGCTCGGATTCTTCACGGGCTTGGTTGCCCCTTTCCAAGTTCAAAAGCGCTTTTCGAACGAGGGGGGGGGCAACAGGCAATTCAATTGGCGGCAGGTGGTAAAGTGTTGGGGGCCCAGAGCATCAAT